CATACCCAGTGGCCTCAATGCAAAAGATCAGGCCCGGGGGAGTTCCAATCACCAAGCTGCAGCTTCTTCGCTCTGTGCAAGCGAACTTGGCGGAGTATGTGAACGAGGAGATCGGGCATGGGGACGTCACCAATGGTGAGCAGGGATGGTATAGTGGGGTGCTAGGCCAGGCCGTGTTGCACAAGGTGGAGGCTGAAGAACAACTCCTACAAAACCATCAAGAGCAGGTGCAAGCATGTCACAAAGAGATGGAGGAGGAGTTCTTGGTCACGAAAACCGTGAGTACCAAGGAACGATTTTGAGAATTGGGTTCCGGCCATTCAGGCTGAGTACACGCAGCTCGTCCAAACCAAGGAAGCGGTGCAGCAGATCACGAAGAAGGCCTTGCAGGTCAAAGCCGAGAAAGAAGGCAAGATCATCGAAGTGCTTCCGGCAAAAATGGTCTTCACAAGGAAGGCAGGGGCGGGCGTGAGAAGGGCAAGAGCTGTTTGTTGCGGAAACTACTCAGAAACCCGCTTCAGCGAAGATTGCTACGCTGGAGGGGCTGATGGTTGTCAAGTCCGTGCTCTACTCCGCACCGCAGCTTTGAAGTCTTGGTCGGTGGCCGCCACTGACATTCGTGTGGCCTTTCTCAACGCCCCAAGGAGGGAAGATGGAAAACTGGTCGCCATGGAAATTCCTCAGGTGTACAAACGCCTTGGTCTTGCACGTGAAGGTGAAGTTTGGCTGGTCAAATTGGCGATGTACGGTTTGACAACGTCGCCACGGGATTGGTCTCAGTATCGAGACAGGACTCTGCCATCGGTGAGCTGGGTTCGAATGAGGGAGGACAGAAAGGTCTGTGGCCACTTTCTCAAGACCGCCGATGAGAACTTATGGCGCTTGGAGGAGGAGGATGTGGTGTCCGGTGAGAGCTACTGGACTGGTCTCATGTCAGTCTACGTAGACGACATCCTGCTTACAGGCGAGGAACATGCTGTATCATCGGCCTTGACCTCATTGCAGTCGATATGGACCACATCAAGTGTGGAGTGGGCATCATCACAAAGCCCGGTCCATTTTTGTGGTTTTGAGATCAAGTTAGATGAAAAAGGAGATGGCCTTCATCTGTCTCAGCAAAAGTATGAGCAGGAGATCCTGACTCGATGGAAAGTGAAGGAGAGTTCAACCTTCCCCAACTTCAAGATTGCGGAGGAGGACTTCGAGGCTCAAGAAGAGACGGACATCAGACAGGTCCGTGAAGCACAGGCCCTGGCAGGATCTCTTCTGTGGCTTTCGACAAGGTCAAGACCGGACCTGGCGCTGGGAGTGGCGGTAGTCAGCCGCATGATGACCAGGAATCCCAAGAAGGCGATTGAAGTGGCCCACAAGTTGCTGGCCTATGTGAAGGGCACCCCTGGCGATCTTCACTACGCCGGACAGGTGCATCAGGTTTGGGGGGCTCGTGGCCAACTCAAGATTCCCCGACATGGGAAACTCGTGGAGGTTTTCGCTGACATTGCCTACGGCACTGTGTCAGGGCACCGAAGTACTCAGGGCTTGGCTATCTACTTCGCTGGAGCACCCATTGCCTGGCAGAGCTCTTCGCAACCCTTCGTGACTCACAGTACAGCTGAAGCTGAATTAGTGTCATACTGTGAGGCCCTGACAGCTGGTCGTGCAACTGAAGCGCTGCTGTGTACTATGTGGGGGGAGGAGCTGATGAACAACAGCACCTTTGACCGGGTCATCTACGGTGACAATGCCGCTGCCATTGCTCTGGCCCATGGCAACAGTGCAGCTTCCTGGAGGACAAGGCATTTGAGGGTAAGGTCCAATTTGCTCCGGGAGGCCCTGGAGAACAGCAGCTCGTACCCTGGAGGAGCATGGAAGCTGATGCACCTTCGTGGCACAGAGCTTGTGGCTGATGGACTCACGAAACCGCTCCTGGGTCAAAGTTTTCAGAATTTTCTGTGTGATTTAGGCCTGAGGGTGGAGGAAACTAGTGTGAGGGTGCTTGGGGCGGAACGTCGACCTCCTCAATTACAAGATCAAAATGGGGCTGATCGGCGACATCCTCAAGTACCAGATCAAATGGGGGCACTTCGAGCCTTGGCAGCGGGTAGCGTGCTTGCGCATGTGGCGGAGGCGCAAGGGGATGTGGAGAAGGACTCAACCATCGGGGCCCTGTGGATTTGTGGTTTGATTTTGATCGCCATAGGGGCAATCTGGGTTTGCAAAGCTGTATGTGCGTCAGCGTGCTGCTGCTTGCGGCGATTGCAGAAGGTGATCATCGAGCCGCCTGGTTCGCAGAGCCATAGCGAAGGGGATGAGTCAGAAGCCACTCCGGCCGGGCCACAGAGAAGGAGATCAAAAGATCAAAGTTCAGCTGCAATGGGTGAAAGTCCTCCTTCGGCCGAAGAGTTGAATGAGGCTGGAACACCTTCTGAAGCTGAGCCGCGCTTGAGAAAAAGGGGATCGAGGGCGCGAAGTGCGGAGGGAACTATGTCCAGGCCGAGCTCTACGCCCTTGACACGAAGGCGACAGTCGGGCTCGGCAAGCAGATCTTTGTCGCGCTCCAAGGGGTCGCAAGCGGGTGTGGCTGTGAATGAGGCTGTGAACTGTGCAGCTGATGGAGCGGAGAGGGCAGCGCTGAGCGCTGAGATGGCCGCGGCAGCAGCTGGGCGAGCAGCCGTTAGCGCTGAGCGTGCTTCGATGCTGCTGCATCAGGCCTTGACTGGCCCTGTGACGAGACCGTCACCAGCAAGGCGCAATGCAGCGCCTGGAAACCCATGGAACCGGTTCCAACAAGAACACGCCGGACGTGGGTGGAGTATGGACAAGATGAGAGCAGAGTACTTTAAGGCAAAGTGCCAAAGTACCATGCCTTGAGCCAGGCATTTTGCCTTTCACACCCCGTGTGGTTTCGGCAAGAAGCCGAAAGGGGGAGTCTGACGGTGAGACCACCGCGCACAGGCATTTTTTGTCCAAGTGAAAAAGGTGTGAGTTTTGTTCGAGACTGTATTGTTTTTTGCCGATTCCCCCCAAGATCCTGTGAACTAGGAAGACTATTACTCACGAGCAGACAACGAGCACCTACCAACAACTACGAGGTCTCAACCTCAACGTCTGAACACCTTCAACATGCAAAGTCCGAAAACAAACGTTATTGAGAACACTGGAAAACACAAACCCGCATAACGTCCTTTTCCTTTTTGTGTGGGGGGGGAGGGGCATACATTTGCGCACCTCCGCCACCAAAACTTTACCCGATGGACAAAGGGATCCTTCCCATTTGGCCCCTAGGCAAATAAATCTTCAACGCGGGCTGTCCGCGACATCCCTGCAGGAGCAACGCCTAATTGAGCGCAGTCAAACGCAGTTCGACAGCTTCTTCGCCCTGGTCCTGGCAGGGGCCTCGTTGCGGTCTTCGTTTTGTTCTTTTTGGTGAGGCAGCAAGTCATAAATTCTCGCCTTGCATACCCCGGCAACACAACCAAAACACGTGCAATAGCCCGAACTAGTGACTCTGAAGTCGCAGCACTCCGAAAATGTCGATTTTTTCAACACTTCGATTTGAGTGATTCCCGGCTCCCTTGTCCGGAACCCCGGGTCCCAGCGATCCGCTACCGAAATCCACGCCAGATCCTCAACGCGGTGAAGCTGGGCGTAGACATCGAGGTCCAACCGCCGGAGCTGCGGGACCTGAGTTCCAAGAGCTTTGCGTCCATTGCGCCTTGAACCTACTAGCGCGGGCCTCCAACGTAATTATTAACCCCAATTGTAATGACCTCCAACCTGAGAGCGATGGCCTCCAAGAGCCTTCGCTTCCATTGCGCCTCACCTGCGTGAATTTGGTGAACTCGTCAGTGATGGGGGGGTGGAAACTCGGATAAGGGGATTGTCGATGTGTGCCTGTTGAGTAGTTTCGGGGGAGGTCAACAGCTTGGAGATGTTTGGGTGGATCTTGGTCGGAGAGAACGATTGGGTTTAGTCAGGCTGCCCGATTCTTCGGGCGTTCAGCATTGGCAGACTTGGCAGCGACAGCTTCCACCGCTAGGACTAGGTGACTAGGTGACTGGTTGGGCAAGATTCCAAACAAGAAACCTCGGCAGTCCTAGATTGTCATGATTGTCCTACTAGTCAATTTGTACCTTGCATGCAAGCAAGCAAATATATCGGATCAATCATACCTCTTGATAGTTTCGAAGAGTTTCGTTCTAGACTGCACAACATGTTGGAATTCCCCCCCCTGCGGGCCAAGGCCATGGCTTGGTTTACCCTGGAGAGCATCTTCGTGTTAACCTTCACTGCCGAGCTAATTCTGCGTGCAATCTTTAAGTATCAGGCCGGATTATTCGACTGGAAGTAGGAGGCCACTGCAGCCCTTGAGGTCCTGAACATGCACCTCACCTCACCACTCTTTCAACCATAAGAATACCCAGTATTTACACTTAAAGGGGAGCAAGGGGGAACACCTTCAGAGTTGTCGTACCCACGATGTTTGTCACACACCTGCTGTTGGAGCTATTCATGAGTCGAACCTGTGGGACACGTGGCCAGGTGGAAGTCTTTGGAGAACATGAGCTCATTTTCCTGGTGGTGCCCAAGAGCCTCGCCGGTGGGACCCCGCACGGTCTGTGGAAGGCAGACGTTCTTGCGATTGCCGAGCAACTGCCGAGTGAAGTTGGACTGTGTTCAACATATAGATTTGTTATGCATTTCAATTATTGGCAGCATTCCATGAGGCTCTTTCCATGCAGCAAAATGCTCAAATGGAGCTTTAAGACGCTTCACGGAATATATATATATAATATAATATATATTATATTATATTATATACATCTATCCAATTGGCTACATATCGCTTCGACCAAGCTTGATACAGCAAAAGCGGCCAAGGATCGTCGCCCACTTGACCTTGCATCAAGCTGGCCAGGCTTGTGGGTGTTTTTTGATACGGCACACTGACGGGAAGAAGGGCCCGCAGCCAGGTGATACAACATTCGGTGTACCTCCTCATGGACAAGATGTTCTTGTTTGACATTGCTCCTTGGCACCTTCTGCTCTGAAGCGGGGTGATGTGATGCCTGAAACTTGCAGATGAGGTTCCCAGGTTCCCCAAACCAATCATATATTCCTATTACATTAATTTAATTTGAAGAACATGGTTTTGGGCGCATGTTCAATGCGTCATGCGCAAAAAAGGTCACTCGCTGTAGGTCACTGTCGTGGTCTCTTGTATCGACAACTTCTTGCTGCGCTTCCTGGGCAGCGGTGACAATCCCGCCCTCCGCTTGGTAGGGCCACTTGGCAATTTTATTCATCGGGTGGACGATCTGCACAGAACCGTCGACGAACTGATCGAAGATGTCACAGGCTGGGAGGAACTGGACGCATGAAGAACTGAAGAACCAGCTAGACGCCATTGCTCCAAACAGGGGCCCTTTGGTTCCACAGGGTGCCAGTGTTCTCTTAATAAGGGTGTGCCTTGGGGGCTTTGAAGTGAACGGATTAAGTTCCAAGGCTAATGAAAGCATCAACAAATACTAGTAGCTTCTTGTTCCTAGTAGCAAGGCCAGGAGCTACTAGTAGCGTCCTTGCCCCTAGTAGCGACGCCCTTTGTTCCTAGTAGCTTCTTGGCCTGGGAACGTTCTTGAGACCGGCACCAACCACCCCTAGTGTTCATAGCTCTGGAAACAACATTCTCCAGCGATCTCAAACAGACGGGGGGAACGTGCCCAATGAGGCTGGTACGTCTCGTGCGCTTGGTGCGGCTGCTGCACTTGATCAAAGACCTGGCGCGGATGGTCCGTGGCTTCGTGGGGAACTTCCGACTGATCATCCGCTCAGTCTGTGGCCCGGTGGAGGGAATTGGGTCGGTTGAAGCAGAGGATGTTGCAAGGCGTGCAAGTCCAGGGATGCTTGTTGAGAAGCTGAACATGCGTGCTTAACTGGTTTGGTGGAGTTGCAGTTAGATGGATAGAGCAGCGCCAGGGTGATCAGTAAGCTTTAATTTTTCTATCACACCTGAAAGGGCTGAGTTGATGTGGGAATGTTCACATCATGTTTGGTTAGAGGCTGGGGTCCTCACACCTGAAATCCAACCGTTCCAGTGTGAGTCTCTGTACAAACGCTCAACGAAGACAAGGGGCTGCAGGCTGCAGGGTTTTGCTCATATATTGCCGCAGCTGCACTTCTTGTTGTCATATCACTTGCTTTGTCGCATCACCCCCTGAGCCAAAGGCATATTAACGCTCTTCATCTACGCCTCGTCTGTGCTCATGGTGGACTTTGTCGGTCATAACGAGGAGACCAAGGACGACGCCGCCGTACAGGCCGGAGACCGAGATCCAGATCGGACTCATTCAAGCAACATGCTAGAGCCAATGGCTATGCTACAAGCAAGAAGGAACAACTCCTGGATTGTTGATGATCTAGCAGGGTGAAGCTGCTTGGTTGCTGGAGCCTTCGTTGAAGGATGTTGAATGTATCCAAAGCAATCCGATTGTTGAGTGCTGAAGTCCACTTCTTTTTTCACCCGCGTTCGGGGTCGACCGGGCAGGCAGACTGGGGTCGGATCCCCGACTGCATGATGACGCTCTTCACCATGACCACGCTGAGTAGCTGGTCCAAGCAGGTGAGCCAGGTGGCGGCCTATCCCTCGCTGGACCCGGATGAGATCCGTCCAAGACGCGTCCGTTGTTTCGGGCGGCAGGTTGTCATAGATTATTGTAAAATATTCATTAATTATATAATAATTAATTGTATATAATATAGTGCTACTTGATCATTTGGTCATCTATCGTCCATTCACCCGCTATGATAGTTGGGTTTATTATGTGTTTTGTTTTAATATTTCTTTGGAGTCTAGATGGGTTATGTTTGTTTGTGTTCCCTAGCTGCTGAGCTAGCTTATTAAGTATCTCGGACATCCCCACTCGTCTCTAGAGGGAAAATCCACGCTGAGTCTAAGTGTTTCAGTCAACTCGATGGTGAACAGATCTACTGTATCCATGCTTCGATAGCAGGGAGAATGACCTACAGTAGAGAAGGGTTGGCTTCCCTGAAAACAATTTCAGTGGCAGCTTGACATAGGCGGATGTGACGTGTCACCTTCTGCTGTCTCATATCCAATTGGTGATGGCCCAGTGTTGGCCATTGAGACCTTGCGCCCTTTGCAATTCAGCTACAACTATTGCAGACCATGGCAGGACAGCCTTATGCCCGTCTTTACCATCCTTTTCTTGGCAATTTGCAGCCTAGGCTCTCGGATGAGTTTCAATGAATGGCAAACAAAGAATGCATACTGTATCATTATCTATTTGCTTAAAAGGCCGTATAGAAAAGGAATGCATTGCGAAACCTACCACGCCCACTTCACCAATTAGACTGGACAGATTTGTGATGTGGCATTCATGTTTGCCTCAGGGATTCTGAACTTGATTACCGGTGTCATGGTACAGACTGCCTTCATGCTGCTGAAGGAGCCGTCGCAACGGAACTTTGCTGCCTGATGGGGTTCAAGATGTCAGGATCCCGCAATGGGGTCTCATTCCCTTCTTCACCACTGTAAGCCCCACTCAGAAATAGAGGTAGGAGTCGGAGTTCCTTGATTATACATTCTACACCTTTGGAGACACGTGGTTTCAAGCGGTGCAAAGTTGACCATACTTGTGCATGGCATAGATACTCGTATCTTCAAGACCTGTCCGGCACCAGATGAAGAGCAGCTCAGTGGGTGGACTCGAGACTCGGAAAGCGCATGAAGATGTGGCACAGCAGGCAAAGCTACTGGCTGACCCTCCATGATACAAGAGCTGCAGTGGCCACACGATAAGGAAACTATAAGGGGCTGAGTGAACGTTTATTTTTGTTGTTTGATGTCACAATGGGGTCTGGGGTTAACGGGAACGGGTTGTAGGTGTACCCTATTCAATATTCTCAAGCCACAACGGTCCACAACCCACATTAAATGCCGAAGTTTCGCAATCTCATGAATATATATACTCGGGCTACGTTCTGGTTGCATACTTTGTATTTATGTTTTTGTGATATGGTGCTTTTTGCTCTACTGACTGGCAGTGCACAAAGACAAACTTGCCTTGGATGTCCTTGGGTGTTTCTTGTTTGAATATTTTGACAATATACGATAACCACATGACAGCAAGACACTATTCACAGATTGTTTTCCAACATGTGGCTGCTCATAATGTTTGTTCTTGGATTAACATCCGGTGGTTTCTGAGATTGACCAACATTTGCAGGATGAAGATGCGGAGAAGAACGACCTGAGACTCTACAAGGCGAGAAAGGCCATTCACCAGGTGCCCTTGGGCTGCGTGGCTTCAGTGTTATGCGAGTGGCAATGTTGTTGTTTGGTCAGAGCTTCCAACAATTCAATGATTACTAGTAGCTTCTTGTTACTAGCAGCGATGGCCTCCAGCCTAATAGCGATGGCATCCAACCTAATTGATTAATGTTGTGAAGAGATTGCTGCCATCCTGATTGTCAAATTGCTGATGAGACCACGTTGTTGCTTGGACATAAGTCTTATGAAGTGATGATCGAGAGCCCTGGGAGGATGATATGTTCTTTCGGACGGTCTCTCACTTTGGCACGCGGAATCGGGCTCACTTTTGCACGGTCCATATACTCAGTTTTGCACACGTGCATGTCTGAGTAAATGGACGGCGTGCAGGGTCAACAGCCTTGCAAGATGTAAGCTGTTTGTATTGTGGCCATCGACCAATCATACTATTACCCCCACTCCCCCCCCACCTCCCCACCATTCACACACACACACACACGTCGCAACATATCAGACTTGAAATCCTGAACAACTCCTATATCTCAGATACTAGTCTAAGTGTGTTTGCATGTAGTATGTGGCATGGGAGTGTGTGCGAAAGTGAGTTTGATGATGGAAGTGTGATTTGAAACGCAATTGAATGGCGTGAGTGCAAATCTGAGTTCGAGATGTGTGCGAAAGTGAGTTGCCTCGCTGTTGGGGAGTCATCTCAGAAGGGGAAGCCTAGGTTTTGAGCTAAGCAAACTTGCTATTTTAACCATGTCCACCGGATTCCACCGGTTCTCGGGATTTGGACATGGGCAGGTCATGGATGAGTGCTTCACTGAGATGGAGGAGCACTTGGCCACCGAGCAGGAAAAGGTCAAGGAGCTCTGTGGCTTTGCACTTGTCGCGTCGAAAGTGAGGACATGCATCGACCACTTGTCGGGGGATTCCTATCCATCAAAGGTCTTTGGTAAATTCCTTTGGGCACCTGGTTGATTCTTTGGGCTTGCTTTTATGCTTGTAGAGTTGTAGAGTCATCCAGATGCTGTTGACCAACAGATGTGGACCAAGGTCAACACCAGAACTGGTTAAGACTAGCAACATCTGGAATCTAGCAAGACTTCTGCCACTCTGTAAGTCTTGCCCTGTTTCTTCCAACTTTCCATCTACCACTGATCAGATGTCCATTGGCCCATTGCACATCGTTCTTGACTCTTCCAGGAGCGGGTGAACCAACTCCGAGAGCTTCACGATGCCATTCTGTCGGGCCGCGCCAGGTGCGGAGCGGAGAGGAGCATCCGGTTGGCTTGGAGGGCTTGGCTTGGAGAGCACCACAGGACGGACTCTTCCCAGTTTTGGACTGGTATTTCAGGAGTTTGGGTTGGTTGTATTGCGGTGACTCAGTGGCGACTTGGAGCTCTTGAGCTGATCCTTGTCAGTCAGTGAAGTTTCACGGACAAAGTCCGGGAGCCAAAAAAGTCTCAGCCTTGGCAGGCACCGCGATTTGCTACGTGCCAACGGAGGCATGGAAAGCCACGGGATGGCCGAAGAGATGTAGAATAAGTTGTTGTTTGTTCTTGTGATGCCGAATGTTACCGGATCGTCTGAAAGTGGCGACAACTGACTTACCTTTGACACAACTTTGGCAGGCCAGCTGGGTGTTTTGCTCGAAAGGTCGCCGTGTTTGGATTGGTGGAGGTGCAGTGAAGGCTAAGCTCGCTAAATCCTCCGGCTCACAACCACAGTACTGTCTCATTACATGACATGCACGGGGACCAATCCGAAAGCGTGCCAAGATGTGTGTCGTGTCATCATGTTCATAGGGTTCACATGACAAGCTCGACACTGGTAATGACCATGATTGACCATGTAATGACCCTTTCGTACATCAACCAAGAAGCAGAATGGCATGGACATCATGACCTTCCACGACCATGACCGGTGAGTAAAACAAACAAACGATAGTCACCACCATGAACTACTGGATGAAAGGTCAACTTTGTTTGGTTCCACTGCAGGAACCTTGGACTCCATCGACAGCATTGGCCTCGGGACCGTGGAAATCCGTGCAAATGAGTCTGCCGAGGTGAATGGAAGGTCACCAGTGAATGAATGGTGTGTTGAGGAGGATCTGAGGGGAAACTGATTGACCGTTGACCCCCGTATCTTAACTAAAACAACTATATTCAAATAAGTTATATATTCAAATTGTGTAAGCACATGGAAGCAGAGTGCCGTTTTCAAGTTGCACTGTCCAGAAACAAAAGCAACATAAAGGACATAATGATTATGTTAATTCTGTGTTTATGATGTTCCCCAACAATGTAACCACATATACTGTATATATACACTATAAACTCATTTAATTTAATCATTTTATGGAATGTGAATGTTATAGTTCTTCGAGCACGGAGCCTCATGAGATTACTCCTGGTTTGAAGGTGTTCAACATCTACTAACTGTAGTTACTGTAGTTCATGTTTGTTTGCCAGTCCAAACTTTTCTGCTTTGCGTGTCTTTTTGGACCCTGTTCTCCGTACTTTTCAGTGGTTCTTTGTCCTGCCTCCGGTCAGGACAACCATGCCGGAGGGCGGAGGGCGGATGTCCAGCTTCGAAGGCGACCGGCGCCAGGGTGACATGCGGGTGGACATGGGTTGACTTTCTTTTTCTTAATTCACAAGGACGCTACCGGGGAGGCCGTCGCTACTAGTAACAAGGACGCTACTAGGTGACACATCCACTTCAGTGTCCACTTCTAAAAGTGAATCTCGATGGGTATTGGATGGTTTTTGAGCTTCCTTGCCTTTTCTTTTGGTGGGGAGGTGATGGCTTTCCGTTCACACATGGACGTTTGGTTTTGGGGCCCAAATGCAAACAAATTAAGAACCAGCAACAGCGGAACCGTGCAGAACAACAATGAACCTATCCCAGACAGAAGAACAAGATTGTAGAACCAGATTAACCACTTTGGCTTATCGTTGCTTTTATCAAACTCAGCTTCACTTTAGAAGTCGTTCTTGTTGGGGTTCCGCTGGACTGGGTGAAGCTGTGGAGGATGACACCAGTCCGACGGCCATCCCTGTGGTCCCAGGCATGGAAGCCCCGGTCAACGAGGAGGCGAGCTTACTGAGTCTCGCCTCGCAAGGATTGATTAGAGGAGCTTCTTGCTACTAGGAACAAAGGGCATCGCTACTAGGAGCAAGGACGCTACTAGGGGCTCCTGGCCCTACTACTAGGAACAAGAAGCTACTCGAGCCATGAACCTGTTAAGTTTGCTCCTCTAAGGTTTAATCGACATATGAAGGGGTTAAGTTATGAACATTCCAGCCTATATATACCGTCTATACCACACGGCCCAATGATCCAGACCCAGGAAACGACCGGGGAGGCTATTCAACAAAAGAATCACCTGGAATACATACTACTGTACAACATTGTAGGTCATGTTCAACAGACCTCTAAGACTCTAAGAACAAACA